AAATAAAGTAACATGGACAGTGATGACTAGTTATGTGGATTTCTGAACCATGGAAATATGTCTATGACTCTACCTGATCATGACAAACAAAGCTTTTGTCAACCAACAATTAAGTAATAAATTTGTTGTTCCTATAATTTGTAAACTTCAATCTTATAAGTCTATAACATCTCATTCTTAATTTATTTCGTGAAATCACTACGGAAATATGGTGCTTTTAGTCTTTGGATTATCGACAAATTAGGACCCCGTTTGTCCATAAAAAAAAATTTTATTTCGAACTTTTTTAAAAAAATGTGTTTGTGCATGAAATTTTAAAAAAAAAATAGAAATTTTTCGAAAATATTTTTTTAAAAAAAAAATCCCCACAAAACTTTAATATTTTTTCAAATGAAATGAATATGCAAACATAATTTCAAATCCCAAGTATCAATTTTTAACTTAACTTCAAATACTATTTTTTTTCAAAAATTACAAATTTTATGTCCAAGCGCCTACTTATTTTGGTCCTTTTGATACCTGGTTAAGCACATTTAATCTTTTAATAAATTCCATTCTTTTGCTTGTGAATCTTTAAAAATTTAACGAATTACTAACTACTCCTATTAGACTATTTAATGATGTTACTCCATATTTGATCGGGTAATATAGCACATTTCCTATGTAATGGGACCAAACACATACCTTTTTAGATAATTCAAGGTTAATATGCTTAGCGAAATATCACAAGGACCAAAATCTAATTACAAATATTAGAGGGGCAAGAAGTGAAATTACCTCAATATTTATTTAATGCTTGGAGGCTGTCAACTAAGTTCAACTAAGCGAAGAACTCTAACCTAATTGCATGTATAACATGTATTAAGTATATTTGTTAGGAAAACAATTATGATAAAAAATTGATTAAGTAGATATGAGTACCTATGGTTAAAACCCAAAACACAAAAATTCTTAAGATTAACGAAAATTATTTACCTTGCACCCCAGAGAGCAATGGATGTATGGTTCTTGAAGACTCCTATCACAAGAAGTGCAATAATTTCCTCCCTTGAATTGCCTATTTTGAGGCCTTTTCTTGATAAAAACCACCTTAGCATTGTTTATTGTATATGCCTTGTACAATTACAAACTAAACTATCAGAAAATCCAACAATCAACAACATTATTAACAAAAGCTAGCAAAATAAAGCATTCAACGGAGGCAAAAACACTAGATAATTCTCCTATTTATTCAAATTTTAGTGGACATATACTTAGAAGCCGAACCAGAATTTCAACTTTATGGGGTCTGAAGTTTAGAACGAAGACTTCAAGTGCTAATAAATGGGTTCTAAACTTAATATATGTATATATTTAATGAATTTCTTAACACACATACACTGTTTGAGCAAAAGCTATTGAGTTCGGCCGAACCCGTAATTAACCGGACTTCTAGCACCGCCCTTGAATAGAGTTACCTTATACTTGCACTGGTGGGGAGGTAGAAGGTACCCCATAAAATTAGTCGAGGTACGTATAAGCTGGCTCGGACACCATAATTATCAAATAATAAATAAAAAATAAAAATAAAACAAGTTTCTTGCAGAATAACTACCTGAATATTGGAGCAATCAATAAGGTTCTCTAAATCTTCAAGTCGAACAACTTCATGATATACATAACGTCTAATTTGAAGTAATCTGTGGAAACGATGAGAAGTCACACAATGAGGACAAATACTTATGCAACAATCCAAACAACAAACATTCTTCTCATTCTTCTTTGCACTTTCATGAATAGAACATGGAACAAAGAATTTCTCCACGTAAAGAGCTTCCAACCAAGATGGCTTCTTAATTCCCTAAAAACATTATATATCATAATTAATTAGTAGATCTTGATAAATAAACTTAATTAAGGAGCTAGCAAAAGTGTTATGTAAAGGAATAATTCTATTTTACATATATAGAAGGTGAAGAATTGGAACCAAAAGCTTACCATAATAATCACATAAAAACTTATTCTCTCAAGTCTCACCACTTAAGCAATGGACAATAGCTTGTTCAGCCTTGATTGGAGAAAGAGAGAAACTATGTTATGGATATTAGTGTATTTAAGGAGAATCACAAGAGGAGAAATGAAATATATTATTAAGAATCACTAGAGAGGAAATGAAATATATTATTACTTGGGTACATACACAACATTTTGTCTATAGGTTCAATTGTAGTTTATATAAGATTAAACTTTTATGCATGGATAGGGTAGAAATTTGTACAGTGTCAAGTCACTTTAAAGTAAAAATAGCACGGGCTAACCAGTTTTCGGGCTGGTCATTCTAAAATAGCCAACGTTTGCAAAATCATTGAAAAATAGCCTCTATTTTACTGCAATACGGAAAGTTCTAGCATAATATACTGGAGATCGGTGCACCTGTATATAAACTTCCAGCATATTATGCTGGAACTCTAACACGCGGAAAGTTCCAGTATAATATACTGGAGA